AAAAGACATCCAAAGAGTTCAGATGAGGCCAGGTGTTGCTTATTCAGTATCTCAAGCCCAGAAAGATGAATCAGTCCTAGAAGGAAATGCCACTGAATTTGTTTCAAATTCAGCTGCTTTGATTCAGCAGGCAACAACAGTTAAAAACAGGGTATCAGAAAATTTTTTGGAAAGTGTCTATGTCTCTGAAAAACTAGCAGTTCAGCAGGCTGATAAATAAGATCTAAAAGTTGTCCAGCAACAGAAAACAAGAACCCATATTATATCTAATGGTACTTTGACAATGCAATAGGATATACTGATTTGAGACTTCCAAGAAAACAGAAAGTACACACATACACTTCACTGAGGTTGTTGATCAATATAAAAAACTGAAATCTCAAATGCAACAGTTAAAAAAAAAACTTTATTTTGGCCGGCACTGTGACACAGAGGGTTAAACAGCCTCCTTTGACATCTCATATGGGCTCCTGTTTGAGTCTCAGTTGCTCCACTTCCAATCCAGCTCCCTGCTAATGCACCTGAGAAAGCAGCAGAATATGGCCCAAGTCCTTGAGCCCCTGCACCCACGTAGGGGACCTAGGGGAAGCCCTGGTTCCTGGCTTCAGAGTGACTTAGCTCCAACCACTGCGGCTATCTGCAGAGTGAACAGCAGATGGAGGACCTATGTCTCTGTCTCTGTCTCTCTCTCTCTGTAACTCTGCCTTCCAAACAAACAAATCTTTAAAAAATAAACATAAAAAGTATCTAAAGTTGAATCTAATACAAGGCATATAAAATGTTTATGGATAAAGCTATGAAAGATCTCTAGAAATGGACAAATATACCATATTCATGGACAGAAAGGCTCAATATCATAAAGACATCATTCTCCCCAAATTTATCTCTACATTCTAAATGATTCCAATGAAAATTCAAGAAAGATTTTTTGGGTAATTGAACAATGTGATTCTAAAAGTTTTATGGGGGGACCAGCATTTTGGTGCATCAGGTTAAACTAGTGCCTGAGACCTGGCCTACTGCTCTGCTGGTTCAAGTCCCATCTGTTCCGTTTCTGATCCAGCACCCTGCTACTATGAACAGGAAAGCAGCAGCAGATGACCCAAGTCCTTGGATCCCTGTCTTCCAAGTGGGAAACCAGGATGGTGTTGCAAGCTACTGGCTTCAGCATAGACCAAACCCAGCTGCTAAAGCCATCTAGGGAGTGAACCAGTAAGTGGAAGATCTCCATCTTTCAAATACATAAATAAATCTCTCAAAAATACAAAAATAAAAGCTTACTGAGATATTAAATAGTTAAAACATGGGGCAGCCCTTTGGCCTAGCAGTTAAGATATTTTTGGATGCCCATAGCTCACATCCCACATCCAAGTATTTGGGCTCAATATCCAACTCCAGGAAAGTGGTTAAGACGCCAATTAAGACATCCAAGTCACCTATCACAGTGCCTGGGTTCAGTTCCCAGCTCTGGCTCCTGAATTCTGCCAATACAAACCCTGGGAAGCATCAGGGAACGGCTCGCAAGTAGTTGAGTCCCTGTCACCCACATGAGAGACCTGGACTGAGTTCCCAACTCCTCGCTTTGACCCAGCCCAGTTCTAGCTGCTGGGGGCATTTGGGGAGAGTGAATCTGCAGAAGGGAGCATATGGTTTCTTTTCTCCCTCTTAAAAATAAATTTTAAAATAAAAGTTTATTTTGGTAAAAAAAAAAAAGTTGGAAACCTATACATAGTTTGTCTATTTTCAAAAAAAAAATTTTTTTGACAGGCAGAGTTAGACAGAGAGAAAGGTCTTCCTTTTCCATTGGTTGACCTTCCGAATGGCTGCTATGGCCGGCACACTGCGCCAATACAAAACCAGGAACCAGGTGCTTCTCCTGGTCTTCCATGTGGGTGCAGAGCCCAAGCACTTGGGCCATCCTCCACTGCCTTCCTGGGCCACAGCAGAGAGCTGGACTGGAAGAGGAGCAACCGGGACAGAATCCGGTGCCCCAACAGGGACTAGAACCCGGGTGCTGGCACCGCAGGTGGAGGATTAGCCAAGTGAGCCGCAGCACCAGCCTATTTTTAAAATTTTTAACTATTTTCTTTTGTACTCGAAAGACAGATCTTACATTTACTAGTTCACTCTCCAAGTGCATACAACACCTGGGGCTGGCACAGTTGAGGCCAGAACTCCAGAACTCAACCCAGGTCTCCCATATGGGTGACAGGGATCCAAACACATGAGCGACTATTTGCTGCCTCCAAGGGTACAGATGCATCATCTGGTGTAAGAAGCAGCAGGGGAGGGAGAAGCACTGTGATGCAGTGAGTAACGTCAGCATCACACATGGGTACCAGTTTGAGTCCTGGCTGCTCCACTTCCAATCCAGCTCCCTGCTAATGTGCCTGGGAAAGCAGCAGAGGATGGCCCTGCACCCACATGGGAGATGTGGAAGTAGTTCCTGGCTTCAGATCAGCCCAGCCCTAGCCATTGTGGCCACTTGGGGAATGAACTAGTGGATGGAAGATCCTTCTGCCTCTCTCTCTCTCTAAACTCTGCTTTTCAAATAAATAAATAAATCTTTAAAAAAACAAGGCGGCCAGTGCTGTGGCATAGCGGGTAAAGCCGCTGCCTGCAGTGCCAGCATCCCATTTGGGCGCCGGTTCAAGTCCTGGCTCCTCCACTTCCAATCCAGCTCTCTGCTATGGCCTGGGAAAGCAGTAGAAGATGGCCCAAGTCCTTGGGCCCCTCACCTGTGTGGGAGACCTGGAAGAAGTTCCTGGCTCCTGGCTTTGGATCAGTGGAACTCCAGCTGTTGCAGCCAACTGGGGAGTGAACCAACAGATGGAAGACTTCTCTCTCTCTGCCTCTGCTTCTCTCTCTGTGTAACTGACTTTCAAGTAAAATAAATAAATCTTCAAATAAAAAAAAGTTAAAACTTGAATGAGACATTCCAACATACCAATGCCTGTCCCAGTTTTCCAGAACATACATTTTCCATATACTTTTTTTTTTTTTTTTTTTGGACAGGCAGAGTGGACAGTGAGAGAGAGAGACAGAGAGAAAGGTCTTCCTTTTCCCGTTGGTTCACCCTCCAATGGCCGCCGCGGACGCCGTGCTGCGGCCGGTGCACTGCGCTGATCCGAAGGCAGGAGCCAGGTGCTTCTCCTGGTCTCCCATGGGGTGCAGGGCCCAAGCACTTGGGCCATCCTCCACTGCACTCCTGGGCCACAGCAGAGAGCTGGACTAGAAGAGGGGCAACTGGGACAGAATCCGGCGCCCCGACTGGGACTAGAACCCAGTGTGCCGGCGCCGCTAGGTGGAGGATTAGCCTAGTGAGCCATGGCACCGGCCCCAGAACATACATTCTCCATGAACTTCTGAAGATACCTCATAGATGCAAATTTTAATTATAATAGTTAATACTGTAGAAAAGTAAAAAAAGGATGAATCTTTCAATTAATTATCCATTCAAGGAACAAATGAATTCTGACCTCTACTTGAGGCTGACACAAAAATCAGTATCCAGGGATGGTGTTGTAGCAAAGTGAATTAAGCTGCCACGTGGGCCACCTGAATTCTATTTCAGAGTGGGAGTCTGAGTGCCAGCTACTCTATCTGAACCATCACCCGACTAACACATCCGGGAAGCAGAGTTTGATGGCTCAAAGTGCTTGAATTCCTGCCACCAACATGATGGCGTTCCTAGCGGATATTTTAGGCGTGAACCAGTAGATGGACAGAAGACTTAGAACGATGCACACAAGGAACATAAATAATCCAAAAACACGTTCACCTCATTTCTAATCAACAAATGCAAACTAAGACAGTTAGAACAATGTCACACAATAACTGAAAAAGTAAACCAAGCAAAAGGAAAGATGTATATAAATTGGTACTCATATATGCTGCTGCTAGTGGAAATACAAAATAATAATATCAAGGTGGGCATCTGGCCCAGCAGATAAGACATGTGCCTCCCTATCTGAGAGACAGAAGATCTCGTCTTTCCCCGTCTCTCTCTCTGTAACTATGCCTTTCATATAAATTAATTAATTAAAAAGATTTATTACTTATTTATCTGAAAGGCAGAGTTAGAGAGAGATATCTTCCATCCACTGGTTCGCTCCCAAATGGCTGGAGTTGGGCCTATCCAAAGCTAAGAGCCAAGAGCTGCTTCCAGGACTCCCATATGGTACAGGGATCCAAGTACATGGGCTATCTTCTAGTGCTTTCCCAAGCAAATCAGCAGGGAGCTGGAGTGGTAGTGGAGCAGCTGGGACTTGAACTGGCACACAGATGGGATCCTGGTACCACAAGTGGCAACTTTATCCACTATGCCACAGAGTCAGCCCAATAAACCTTTAAAAAAAAAAAAACTTTACTTGCAAACCAAATATACCAGCATTGTATAGAACAGTAAAAAACTAGAAAAAAAATCTGAACATCAAAATAGAATGAACAAATTTTACTGTGTATGAACATATAATCAGATCATGCAATCATCTGGGGAAACTAACGGGTGAAACAGGAAACTAACCACAAAAAGCAAGTCATAAAACATGTAAGGTGGGGCCAGAGCTGTGGCACAGTGGGTTAAAGCCCTGGCTTGAAGTACCAGCACCCATTGGGGAACCAGTTCAAGTCCTGGCTGCTCCTCTTCCAATCCAGCTCTCTGCTATGGCCTGGGAGGGCAGTGGAAGATGGCCCAAGTCCTTGGGCCCCTGCACCCACGTGGGAGACCCAAAGGAAGCTCCTGGCTCCTGCCTTCAGATCAGCACAGCTCCAGCCATTGTGGCAATCTGAGGAGTGAACCAGCGGATGGGAAGACCTCTCTCTCTGTCTCTACCTCTCTGTAACTGTCTATTTTTGGAACTGTCTTTCAAATAAATAAAATAAATCCCCCAAAAAATATATAAGGTATATAAATTCTCAAACATGGAAAATTCAACAGCAACTTCTTTCAAGGAACACACATTCTTAAAATATATTAAGTACTATATAGACACACTTACTTGTTTCTTTTTCAGTTTAAGGATCTGCTGTTCTACTTTTGCGATTTCTCTATCTACACGGTCCATACTCTGTATTAACTCTTCTTTTGAAAGCTTTGAAGGTGAAGCATTTTGATCATCTCCACAGGGCTGCCCAGAGATCGGAGAGGATGGAGCATCATGTTTGCCGCCAAATGCTGGATCCTTTAGAGAAGGAAATCAAGAACAATTTATTTCTCATTAATAGTCCACATTACCATGTATTAGTTAACATGGTCTTAACTGCAAAAGTAAAATTAAAAACAGAGTGAGAACTAATGTTCTGGTACCACAGGTGAAACCACAGCCTGTGATGCAGGAATCCAATATGAGTACCACTTCAAGTCCCAGCTACTCCATTTCTATTCCAGCTCCCTGCTAATGCACTTGATAAAGCAGCACAGGATGGCCCAAGAGCAGGGGCCCCTGAACTAACACAGGGGACCTAGATGAAATTCCAGGCTCTAAGCTTCAGACTAGCCCAGACCCAACCACTGCCATCATTTGGGGAGTGAATCAGTGAATGGAGTATGTCTCCCATGTCCCAATCCTATTACTCTGCCTTTCAAATAAATAAACCTTTAAAAAAATAAGTAGACAAATTATTTCTCTAACGGTAGTTTAACAATTTTTATATTCTCTCTCTCTCTCTCACACACACACACAGACACACACACACACTTCACAAATCCCATGGATATTTATACCATGTTTATAGTTTAGATGTATCATTCACTATTTTGAAAACTCTAAAGGTTATAGAGAGGGGCCGGTACTGTGGCTTAGTGGGTAAAGCTGCCACCTGCAGTGCTGCCATCCCATATAGGGGTTCGAGTCCCAATCACTTCATTTCCAACCCAACTCCCTGCTATGGCTTGAAAAAGCAGTACAAGATAGCCCAAGTCCGGGCCGGCGCCATGGCTCACTAGGCTAATCCTCCGCCTGCAGCGCCGGCACCCCGTCGGGGTGCCGTATTCTGTCCCGGTTGCTTCTCATCCAGTCCAGCTCTCTGCTGTGGCCCAGGAAGACAGTGGAGAATGGCCCAAGTGCTTGGGCCTTGCAGCCGCATGGGAGACCAGGAGGAAGCACCTGGCTCCTGGCTTCAGATCAGCACAGTGCGCCAGCCGGGGCGGCCATTTGGGGGGTGAACCAACGGAAGGAAGACCTTTCTCTCTGTCCCTCTCTCTCACTGTCTAACTCTGCCTGTCAAAAATAAAAAAATTAATTAATTAATTTAAAAAACTCTACTACTTTGGGCCAGCCTTTTGGCATAGCAGGTGTGTTGGTTCAAATCCCAGCTTCTCCACTTCCAATCCAGCTCCCTGCCAAAGTCTCTGGGAAAGCAGCAGAAGATGGCCCAAGTGCTTAGTCCCCTGTACCCACGTGGGAGACCAGGAAGATGCACCTGACTCCTGACCTCAGCCTGGCAGAGCCCTGACCATTGCAGTCACTTCAGGAATGAACTAGCAGATGAAGATATCTCTTTCTCTGTAACTCTTTCAAATAAATAAATCTTTAAAAGAAAAAAAAAGAAAACTCCACTACCCAAAATCTATCACCTCCTCAACACAACACACACACAAACACACACACACACAATTAGTTTCCAGTTTGAGGTGAAGACATAAGCAATATTATAAAACAGGGGAATTTTAGGGTAAGGCACTAGTTTTCTTTAGGCTATGAAAAGCCTAGATGAGGATAGTTCCTAAGATTACAGATTCCTAAAATGTACTAAATAAGAAGTAACTGAAAAATGAGTAATTCAAATCAAGCATGCATATAGGAAATACCTGAAGAGTTGCTTCAAAACACCTTGGTACAGAGATTACAGCTAAAACATGTGTATTGCTGAAAAGCCTCATATTCTGTAACAGTATGTACTAAATACATGTAAGAGTATTTCTGGGGAAAGTAGGATAATTGCTATACCCTGGCCTATTCAACTCTTAGACAGAAAGCATTAAGAAAAGCAGTAATAATTCTAATAGATCTAATAACACAGTTAAAGTTCCAGAATCATTTGTATTCAGCATACATTGGCAGCATTAAATCATGTAGTTCATCATTTCTCTAAAAACCCTTGAGGTCAATGGCTTTCAAAACAAACAGTACATTTCTTCCAAATAAAAAATTAGGGTAGGAATCATGACCAACTTTCACAAACAAGAAATACAAGAGAAAATGTTCCTTTTTTTTTTTAAGTTTTTAAGCTTTTTATTTAGTGAGAGAAATGCATAGGGGAGTGAGGGCTTTAAGAGAGCAGGAGTCCAGATATTAAGTTGAAGTCCACACTGAGCAGAGGGCAGGCCGGGAGCCACATGCGGTGAGCATTTGGTTATGAGCAGCCACATGCAGCTTAGCATGAGCAGTGAAGCGTAGGTGAACAGAGACCTGGTGGCCCAAGGCCACTTGCACCAAAGGCTCCGGCAACAAGGGGATCCAGGGCAGCGAGGGAGGATAAGGGTGCGCCCACCGTGTTCCAGGTCTTTTATCCACTTCCAAAGGGGAGTGGTCATGTAGCCTGATTGTTGAAAAGACACTGCTGCCCACCTGCCAATCAAATCTCCACTAATTAGTACTATAAAAAGTACAGCAGTTCTTGAATTCACTAAACCAGCTACTACACACACTAAACGAAGACTCAATGCAGTACATGAAAATGTTCTTAAGGTCTTCACATATTCTAATGACTGTAATCATTCTTTAATTGTAAGAGAGGTTGACCCTGAGAACCTTGAAACATTAATGTGCAAGACAAAATCTTTGTGCTCTATCATGATGACCATGTTTTATTAGTTATCACTCTCCTACTATGCACACCTGAGCTTATGATACAGAAACACGCATAGTAACAAAACACTGGATTTTGATTTAGCAAACTTCGAAAGTGCTCCCCAAGTGATGATGACACATGTCCTAAGAACTATTATAGGTTAGTATTTTCCACTGACTTCCCTTCTGATTAAATATTTAACAAAAATCAAATTCCTAAAGTGTCCATTTACAAGACAGGGAACCAGACAGAGTGGTGACCAAAACAGCCATACGATCCGCACCTATATGGTGCTTACACCCTTGTACAGGAACATCCAGGAAGCTATTTTGAAGAAAAGAATTAGATTCTCACCTCACAACGTATTTCAAAATAAAAGCCAAGTAACGGCAAATATTTATGGAAGGCTAATTATTAGCAAACCAAACAAGCATGGGCTCAAGAAGGCCAATAGCAAAAAACACTGTTTTAAAGAAATAGAAATTGATGGAGCAAAATAAAAAACATAATTTTCCATTTATCAAAATAGTAAAAACAATTTTGAAAGGCAAATGATGAAATGAAAAAATCATTTGCAAAATATGAATATATAAAATAAACAGAATATAAAATAAACAGAAAAATAGACAGCAAATGTGAAAAACAATTCACAAACTAGGAAAGATGAATAACCAGTGAACAAAGAAAGTTCAATTTCACTAATAAATCCATCTTAAAAAAATCATGTTTTCTTTTAAACGATAAATATAAGGTGGTGTCAGCAAGGATACAAAAATGGGCACTAGGGGACAATGTTGTGATGCAGCAGGTTAAGCCACCACCAGACCTGAAATCCCAACTGCTCCCCTTTGGATTCAGCTCTCTGCTAATGCACTTGGGCAAATTGCAGTACTTGGCCCCTGCAAACTATGTGCACAACCAGGATGGGGTTCCAGGTTCCTGGTTTTAGCCTGTCTCAGCCCCAGCTGTTGTAGCCATTTGCGGAATGAACCAGCAAAGAGAAGATGCCTCTCCTTCTCTCTTTCAGCCTCTCAAATAAATCATCAATAAAAAAAAGGGAAAGAGGGAGGGAGGTGGTGTTATGCTGCAGCAGGTTAAGCTGTTGCTTGGGATGCCCATATACTATACCGAAGTGCCTGGTTTGAGTCTCAGTTTCTCAAAGCTATTTTTGTTTTTTAAGATTTATTTATTTATTTGAAAGGCAGAGTTACAGAGAGGCAGAGGCAGAGAGAAAGAGAGAGTATCCCCAACTGGCCGCAATGGCCAGGGCTGGGCTAGGCTGAAGCCAGGAGCCTGGAGTTGCTTCTGGGTCTCCCACATGGGTGCAGGGGCCCAAGGACTTGGTCCATCTTCCACTGCCTTCCCAGACCACAGCTGAGAGCAGAATCGAAAGTGGAACATCCAGGATTTGAACCAGCACCCATATCAGATGCTGGCACCACAGGCAGCGTCTTCACCAGCTACACAACAACACCAGACCCTCTCACTGCTATTGATCCAGCTTCCTGCTAATGCTCCTGGAAGGCAGCATATGATGGCCTAAGTACTTAAGTTCCTGCTACCCACAGAGGAGACCTGGATGATGCAGTTCCTGGCTCCTGGCTTTGGCCTGGCCTAACCCTGTCTATTGCAGACATCAAGGGAGTGAAAAAGCAGATGGACACTCTCTCTCTCTCTCTCTCTCTCTCTGTCCCCCCCCCTCTCTCTAACTCTGCCTTTCAAATGAATAAAAACTTTAAAAAGAACAAAATATATGAAATTAGAATTAAAAACCCTAAATATGAAGTTATTATTCAGATACTCATATAACTATAGTTAGTAATGTGTTATGTATTTGAAAACAGTTATTAGAGTAATTTTAAATGTTCTCAACACAAAAAAATGCAAGGTAATGGATACATTAATTAGGCTGATATAACAATTTTCCAGTGTTTGCAGGTAGCAAAATGTCACCTTGTGTACCATAAATCTATATAAATTTTATCCCTCAATTATAGCTTTGTAAAACTCAGTGGGGGATAATCTTCAAGTTATAAAATTGTAAATAATTTTGGCTCCTATTATTTCCCAAATTTTCTATAAAATGTATTACTTATATAAATTAAGAATACATTTACTTTTGAAAAAACTTATTTTATGACACAATTAAACCTTACCTAAAAAATGTGATTTCTGCTTTATAGCAGGTTTAATAACTTATTTTTGAATTTAACAGACTCATTTAAATTTAACAAAACTGGTGACTTTGAATAAGTACCTGTGCCCATATTTTATATCACAGCAAGCCCACATAAAATGCTTGGAAATTATCAGAGAGAAAGTTTTCCTTATCACAGTCCTAAGACTGTTCCCACTTAACAAAATGTCAAAAACACGGACTATAAGTTTGGAGCACTGAATCTGTGATTTTTGCATTTGTTCAACAAAATTTTTACTTCCCATAGTACTAACTATTAGAGACTCATGTAACTGGACTTTATTTTAGGCACTGTGCCTGAAAATGGCTAAATAAACGCTACAAGAGCTACAGCTCCACAGAGTAAGAGAACAAATATTTACCTTCTTAGCATCTGCAGAAGACCTCAATCCTTCTGGCAGCGTGTGCACTAAAGGTAAAACCGCAGCACTGACTCGCTGAAAATGGGAATCAGAAACCTGCTCCAGACGCGGTCGCTTGGATTCCAGTGAATCATGTTCCACTGGGGATGGGCCTGGATGAAACTGTTCATATCCAGTTCGCCTTTCTTGAGGCCTAATACATACAAAGAAAATAAACACTTCAACATGTTTAACTGGTGTACAACTTCCTGCTAACATCCCTGGTTAGACCCTCAAGTAAACAGCATGCTTATTTTCAAGGAACCTTTGTCCCCTGACTCCCACCCCAGAATATAAACTTAGAAACAATTAAATAGAAAAAGGTTCTTGGAGAAGTTGTATAACTTAAATAAAAGAATCTAGAATACAAAGATATAACATGAGATTTCTCCTAGCAAAAAATTTTAAGTGGCTTAAGAACATTCATAAAACAGAACTTTTAAACTTGTGATGGCGTCAGTGCTATGCCACTGAAGATTAAGTCTCAGGGCCGACACTGTGGCATAGCAGGTGAGGCCACCACCTGCATTGCCAGCATCCCATGTGGCCACTGGTTCGAGTCCTGGCTGCTCCACTTCCAATTCGGCTCTCTCAATTGGGCAGTAGTTGGCCCAAGTCCTTGGGCCCCTGCACCCACATAGGAGACCTGGAGGAGGTTCCTGGCTCCAGATCGGTGCAGCTCCGGCCACTGTGGCCAACTGGAGAGTGAACTAGCAATGGAAGACCTCTCTCTCTGCCTCTCCTCCTCTGTGTAACTCTTTCAAATAAATAAATAAATAATTTTTAAAAAAGGTGGCCCAAGTAATTGGGCCCCCACATCCTTGTGGGAGATGCAGAAGAAGCTCCTGGCTCCGGCCTGGCCCATCCTGGGCCAATGCGGTCATTTGCAGAGTGAGCCAGCAAATAGAAGAACTCTCTCTCTCTCCCTCTCTAACTCGACTTTTCAAATAAAACAAATCTTTAAAAGAATGTTATTAGCATCACTATTCATAATAATCAAAAGAGAAATAACTTCAATGCCCATCAACTGATGGAAATATAAACACAATGTAGTATATAGCGGCCAGTGTTGTGGCATAACAAGTTAAGCCAAGGCCTGAAATGCCAGCATCCCATTTGGGTGCTTGTTCAAATGCTGACTGCTCCACTTCCCATCCAGCTCCCTGCTAACAAGCTTGGAAAAGCAGCAGCAGATGGTCCAAGTGCTTGGGCCCCTTCACCCACGTAGGTGACCCAGAAGCTCCTGGCTCCTGGCTTCAGCCTGGCCCAGCCCCAGCCATAGGGAATGAACCAGTAGATGAACAATCTCTGTCTCTTGTCTCTCCCTCCTTCTCTTTCTATAACTCTGCTTTTTAAATTAAAAAAAAAAGTTAAAAAAAAAAAAATAAACAAAATAAAAAGCCTAACGCCAAAATTTCATACTATGCAATCTTCATAGGCTTTTAAAATTGAAACACTTCATTGACTTTCATTATCTCTCAGCACCATTTATAAATATCTTTAAACAAATTAAAATTGGTCGGCGCCGCGGCTCACTAGGCTAATCCTCCGCCTTGCGGCGCCGGCACACCGAGCTCTAGTCCCGGTCGGGGCACCGGATTCTGTCCCGGTTGCCCCTCTTCCAGTCCAGCTCTCTGCTGTGGCCAGGGAGTGCAGTGGAGGATGGCCCAAGTGCTTGGGCCCTGCACCCCATGGGAGACCAGGATAAGTACCTGGCTCCTGCCATCGGATCAGCGCGGTGCGCGCCGGCCGAGGCGGCCATTGGAGGGTGAACCAACGGCAAAGGAAGACGTTCCTCTCTGTCTCTCTCTCTCTCACTGTCCACTCTGCCTGTCAAAAAAAAAAAAAAAAAATTAAACAAATTAAAATTATAAAATGATTGACCAATACACCTATAGCTTATTTGTTTAAAGAAAGAGTAATTCCCACTTTGCTAGTGTATATCAGTTTATAGCTATTTAAAATACTGGGCTGGCGCCGCGGCTCACTAGGCTAATCCTCCGCCTTGCGATGCTGGCACATCGGGTTCCAGTCCCGGTCAGGGTGCCAGATTCTGTCCCGGTTGCCCCTCTTCCAGGCCAGCTCTCTGTTGTGGCCAGGGAGTGCAGTGGAGGATGGCCCAAGTGCTTGGGCCCTGCACCCCATGGGAGACCAGGATAAGTACCTGGCTCCTGCCATCAGATTAGCGCGGTGCGCCGGCCGCAGTGTGCCGGCCGGACCGGCCATTGGAGGGTGAACCAACAGCAAAGGAAGACCTTTCTGTCTCTCTCACTGTCCACTTTGCCTGTCAAAAAAAAAAAATACTGGTCCAGAAGTGGGCATTTTGTCTAGCAGTTTAGGCACCGGCTAGAAAATCCACATCCTACTCATGGAAGGGCAGGAGGACAGCAGCAAGTAAGAAACCAGGATAGCACAATGGGAATTTCCAAACAAACCTCTCACCACTACCCCTCATTTAATTTTCTTCTCCAGTAAGGAGAATTCATGAGAAGTCCTAGGATTTTATCAATTTCATATTTTTCCTTTTTCAACACTGACTCTTAGGGAACCGAAGTAAGAAACAGGAGGTTAATTCATTCAAGATTCTTCTAATTCCTTCTTTGAATCCTGCTTTTCCAAGATTATAGTAGTTTACAATAATTGCATGTCTTTCCTTATTTATAAAGTACATTTTGCTGGTGCTATGGCATAGTAGGTTAAGTCCACCTGCAGCACCATCATCCCATATGGGCACCGGTTCAATTCCTGGATGCTCTACTTCTGATCCAGCTTCCTGCTGATCGCCTGGGATGGCCCAAGTGCCTGGACCCCTATACCCATGTGGGAGATCTGAAGAAACTTCCGAATCCTGGCTTTGGATCATCCCAACTCCAGCCATTGCAGCCATTTGGAGAGTGAACCAGTGGATCGAAGACCTCTTTTTATGTCTCTAACTCTGCCTCTCAAATAAATAAATCTTGAAAAAATAAATAAATAAAGGGTACATTGTTCGCCACTTTCTAATTTTTTTTAAAGATTTATTTATTGATTTGAAAAGCAGAGTTAAAGAGAGGCAGAGAGGTCTTCCATCCACTGGTCAACTCCTCAAATGGCCCTAACAGCAGGAGCTGAGCCAATACCAAGCCAAGAGCTTCTTCTGGGTCTCCCACATAGGTGCAGTAACTTGTGCCATCTTCCTCTGCTTTCCCAGGCCATAGCAGAGAGCTGGATTGGAAGTGGAGTAGCCAGGATTCAAACCGTGTCCATAGAAGATGCCGTCACCACTAAGCCACAATACCGGCCCCTTATTTTTAGCCATTTCTTAACAAAAGTTTTATATATGTGCTACCTATCAGAGGGAAAAATGATCTGAATTCTCTCCACAAACCTCACCAAAAATGTATTATATAACGATTTTAAATGTAGTCAAATAAATTCAAATCATCATCTTAAAATCTAAACAATAAGCACATTTTAAATAGGAAATCAGAATCCTATATAATTACTAAAAAAAAGCTAGAATGTGCATTTAATAAAAGCAGTTATTATATTTCAAAATACTTCAGAATTCAAACAAAAAACTGGAAATGAAAGAAATAACAGATAATTCAGAAATAAAAGAATCAAAGTATTACTGAACAATTACATGCCAAGAAACTGATAACCTAAAAGCCAAGTGAGAAGAAACAGAAAACCTTAACAGACCAATAACAAATAAAGAGACTGAAGAAGGAATTCAAAATCTCTCAAGTCCAGCTAGAGTCTACCAAACTTTCAAAGAAGAATTAATATCAACTCTTCTTAAATTCCTCCCAAAAATGGAGCTGGAAGAAATACTTTCAAGCATTTTATAAGGCCAGCATCATTTTGATACCTAAGCCAAAGAAATCACAAGAAAAGAAACCTACAGCCAATCTCTCTGATGAGCATCAACACAAAAACCCTCAATAAGATATTAACAAGCTGAATACAATATCACATCGAAAGTTAATACATCATGACTAAGATTTAACCGTGGTCTAACATCCACAAACTAATCAATGTGATACAGAACATGTAGACAAAAGTCACATGTACATGCCAATGGATGCATCATCAATCTCCTTTCTGAATAAAGGCTCAACAGTTAAAGTATAGAAGGACAGGTCCCCAAACTAGGACAGAAGTTTAGTGTGACTGTTAAGCTGCAGCTTTATCAATGTCTGGGTTTCAGCCCCAGATCTGCTCCTAATTCCAGCTTCCTAGTAATCTACACTCTGGGAGGCAGCAGACAATGGCTCAAGTACTTGAGTCCTTGCCACCCACGTGGGAGACCTAGATTGAATTACAGACTCCTAGCAGGCATTTGGGAGAGCGAACCAGCAGATGAGAACATTTCTTTCTCTCTCACTCTGCTTCTCAATAAAATGAATAATAGGCCGGTGCTGCGGCTCACTAGGCTAATCCTCCGCCTTGCGGCACTGGCACACCGGGCTCTAGTCCCGGTCGGGGCAACGGATTCTGTCCCGGTTGCCCCTCTTCCAGGCCAGCTCTCTGCTGTGGCCAGGGAGTGCAGTGGAGGATGGCCCAAGTGCTTGGGCCCTGCACCCCATGGGAGACCAGGATAAGTACCTGGCTCCTGCCATCGGATCAGCGCAGTGCGCCGGCCACAGCGCGCCGGCCGCAGCGGCCATTGGAGGGTGAACCAACGGCAAAGGAAGACCTTTCTCTCTGTCTCTCTCTCTCTCACTGTCCACTCTGCCTGTCAAAAAATAATAATAAAAAGAAATAGGAAAATTGAATTTCAAAAAAAAAGAATAAAAACATATTTAAAAATTGCCAACGGTATAAGAAAAGATGCTCAATACCACTAATCGCCAGAAAAATGTGAATCAACACCTCTATGAGGCTACCTCACAGCCTACCACAGCATACCCAGTAAGGATCGTCATCAAAAACTCAATAGGTAACACCGGCAACTGAAGAAAAGGGAACTCGGGAACACTGCTGGAGGAAATGTAGATTGGCACAGCCATTATAGAAAACACAGAGGTTTCTAAAGAAATTAAAAATAGAATTACCACATGATCCAACAATCCCTCTTCTGGGCATACATCCAAAGGAGATGAAATCAATACTCTATAAACATATCTGTAACCCATGTTCACTGCAGCATTATTCACAAAAGCTAAGATAAGGAATAGCCTAAGTTTCTGTTGACAAATGGTTAAACAAATGTGACTGATTAAATATATGAATATTATTTACCCCTAAAAAAGAATAAGATCTTACCATCTGCCACAAAGTGAGTAAACCTGGAGGACATTATGCTAAGTGAATAAACGAACACAGAAAGAAAAGTACTGCATGATCTCACTGGTATCTAGAATCTAGGGACTAGAACCCGGTGTGCCGGTGCCACTAGGTGGAGGATAAGCCTATTGAGCCATGGCGCCGGCCTGAACCCTGGCTTTTATGGACATTTGGGAAGTAAACCTGCAGATTGAAGAGCTCCCCCTACCCCGCCTCTCAAATAAACTCTAAAACAACAACAACAACTTTAGATTAAAAGGGAGAATGGAGTCAAAGAAAGCAGGGATGGTAAGGACATTGGGGTATGGGAGCAAGTACCAAAAGTACCTCACACACAGGGTGTATACTACCTGATGGATTATTTACTGTCCTTTAAGGATAATCTGTTATTGTCCCCAATGTTACAGGCCAGAAAACTAAAGCTTAATGAGTCTAAATTAGTAATTTGCAACTCTGGCTGCAAATGAGAATCATGTGGGAAACTTTGGCCATTAAACTAATGCCTGGGCCCAAACCCAGAGATTGCTGTAATTGTTCTATGATGGGACTTGGGCATCTCCAGTGGTTCTGAATTGCAGCCCAAACTGAGAAAGAACACCAGTAGTTTATACAACATGAACAAGGCCAAAGTGCTGACAAGGATTAAAATCTAAGTCTATTGATTTTCCTCTACATATCATTAACTCTAAAACTGCAAAGAAGTTTTAAGACCTTGTTAACTATTATTACTCCTCCAAAAGATCAATCAATATAAAATAGTTCAATATACAAAGTTTTAACAATCAGTCACTGCTTGGTTAATAAACACTATAAAAATTGACACTTATGAAGTCTGCACATACTTCACACTTACAATCCCAGATGGAAACATGAAAGAAACCCCATTACCTGTCAGAACCTGGGTGAAATTCTGAAAGCAAGGAAGGCCGTCTCCGGAGCTGCTGCTGCTGTTGCTGCAAGAGCTGTGACGCCTGGCTGACTTCAAGATGAGACGAACGATAATCAGGGACTGCAAACTCCTAACATCCAATAATCACAAATTAGTTACTAACCAAAACGGGAATTCAAAACAAATACATCATGAATTCAAAACAAATACAAAGGCAGGAATGGCCACTAAGCAGCAAAAAAACAATGACAATCTCAACCTTTCCTTGACCTAACTCTTCCCCACAAGCTTAAACAATCAACATTTTAACAGTATAGCATTTCAAATCATTCAAAATGAAATTTCAAGTTCAATTGATAGTTGACTCATTTCTCTAACAATATTATAATAACTACTAACATGCGTTACGTAAAAACCTCAAACTCATGAGTTCAACATGAGAGTCTAAGATACATTCCAATCTTAAGTTCAAAATGATTAAGCTGAAAGGATCACAGACGTCATTAGTTAAGTTCATCTGTATTTACAAATGAAGAAACTGGAATCCAGAGAATCAGCCAGCTAGTGAAGAGAAATTGTTTTTCCACTATAACTGAGTATTTTATGTTTTCCCATCTACTTTACTTTTGTTGATTTTGGCAAAAGCATCTTTTTAAAACAAATATATAGTTAACACAGAATTAGTAAACAACTCAGGAATAATCATCCTAGGTATAAACCCTAAAGAGTTAAAAGCATGTAACCACACACAAAATTTTGTCCACAAATTTTCACAGAACTGTGCACAGATAAAACTTTAAACAACCCAAATGTTCATCAAGTAACAAACAAAAAAAATGTGGTCAATCCACAAAATGGAATATTATTCAGTGATAAAAAAGGAATAAAGTACTGATACATGCTAGAATGTAGAAAAACACAGAAAACACTATGTCACATTTAAAAAGCCAGACACAAAAGACTTCTATGAAATGTCTAGAAAAGGTAACTCCATAGAGACAAAAAACAGATTGCTGGCTGCCAGAGAACTGGAAGAATTGGGATTAGCTGCTATTAGGTACACATTTTTTATTCAGATGATGTAAATGTCCGGAATTAGGTAATGGTGACATTTTATTTTTTTATTTTTGACAGGCAGAGTGGACCGTGAGAGAGAGAGAGAGAGAGAGAGAGAGAGAGACAGAGACAGAGAGAAAGGTCTTCTTTTGCCGTTGGTTCACCCCTCAATGGCTGCCGTGGCCGGCGCACTGCGGCCGGTGCACTGTGGCCGGCGCACCGCGCTGATCCAATGGCAGGAGCCAGGTGCTTCTCCTGGTCTCTCATGGGGTGCAGGGCCCAAGCACTTGGGTCATCCTCCACTGCACTCCCTGGCCACAGCAGAGAGCTGGCCTGGAAGAGGGGCAACTGGGACAGAATCCAGCGCCCCAACCGGGACTACAACCCAGTGTGCTGGTGCCGCAGGCCAGGGGGAGGATTAGCCTAATGAGCTGTGGTGCAGGTAATGGTGACATTTGCACAACATAATGTATTTAATGAAAGCCACTATATTTACACAATAAAGTGGTGAATACTCTGGTATGTGAATTCAAGGTCTGCCAAAAATTTTGTTTTTCTTACAGATTTATTTTAAAGGCAGAGTTATACACAGAGAGAAAAAGAAAGAGAGAGCGATAGAGAGGTGTCTTCCATCCACTGATTCATTCTCCAAATGGCCATAATGGCCATGGATGGACCATGCCCAAGCCAGGAGCCTCTTCCAGGTCTCCCATGTGGATGCACAGACCCAAGAGCTTGGCCATCTTCCACTGCTTTTCCAGGCATGTTTGCAGGGAGCTGGATCAGAAGTGGAGCAGCCAGAACTTGAAATAGCACCCCTATGGGATGCCGGTGCCACAGGTGGTGGTTTAACCCACTAAACCATAGCGCCAGCCTCCAGAAAAAGTTTTAAAATCCTAAGGAGATAAAGTTGAGATATCCAGGCTAAAAAAAAGCAGTAAATAAGAGATTCAGAATCCTCTGTAAGCAAGTAACAGTAGTCTAGGATAGTCTAAGAAGAAATCTCACATAAAAAGTTGAACATCAAACAAAAAAAATGCAAAGCACTGAAAAAGATAAAACCATTTTGAGTCTTAAAATACCTTAAAAGTTGGACTAAACGTAGGGACTCTTATCAAACATTGGGCAACAAGCAGCACAGGAACTGTCTCTAAGAGAAATGCGACAAATGAAGTAAGCCCTACTTATCACACTCCAGGCTATCTGTCCAGAGGCAACCTGCAAGCTGCAGCCAGGATCACAGTTACCAGAGAAGAATTTCCTGAGAGGAGGGAGTTACATGAAAAAGATTTCCTGAAATCAGATCTTGGATTCCCTTAATTCTCTGCCTGAATTCTTGTCTATAAACACATAGGAAGAAAATTTGACAAGGCTGGTTAGCTAAAAAAAAAAAAAAACTGATGAAAGATCTGGAGGAACTATAAATCAAATAATTTCCCGAGCTCACTCAGGGCCAGATGTATTCAAATTTCCTCCAGCAAGAATGAGGAAAGCTCACTGAATACACAAGTCACCAGGTGGACATCCATAGGAGACAGACTTAGAATTGGGAGATGAATCAGACCTAGAATAATGGCTACCCTAGACTCACCCTAAGAATTCAAAAACAAGCCTCAAGAGACTAGTATTGTGGCACAGCAGGTAAAGCCACTACTTGCCACCCTGGCATCCCAGCTGCTCTGCTTCTGATCCAACTCCCTGCTACTACACCTGGGAAGACATGGATGACATGCCACATACTTGGGTCCCTGACATCAATGTGGGAGACCAGGACGGAGTTCTGGCAGATCCCAGCCACCGAAGACATTTGAGAAGGGAACCAGTGGATGGAGAGTAACTCACACACTCTCTCTCTCTTCTTCCCTTCCTCCTCTCCCTCCTAGTCTACCTTACAAATAAATAATTTCCTTTAAAGGTTTATTTATTTATTTATTTATTTAAGAGGCAGAGAAAGGGAGAGACAGAGAGGTCTTCCATCCTCTGGTTCACTCCCCAGATGGCCACAACTGCTGAAGCTGAGCCAATCCAAAGCCTGGAACCAGGAGCTTCTTCCAGGTCTCCCATGTGAGTACAGAGGACCAAGCATTTGGGCCATGCCCCACTGCTTTCCCAGGCCATCAGCAGGTAGCTAAATTGTAAGTGGAGCCGCCAGGACTCGAATCAGCACCCATATGACAGAGGCAGAGGCTTAACCTACTATGCCACAGCGCTGGTCCCATAAGTAAATCTTGAAAAAATTGTTTTCCTCAAATTGCTTCAATGAAACGGACTAACAATTAAAGAAACTGAGTTCATAATTTAAATGTTTTCCAAAGAAAATTCTAGGCTTATAAGCTTCGCTAGGAGCTGGTGTTGTGGCATAGAAGGTAAAGTCACTGCCTACAATACTAGCATCCCAAATGGGAGCTTGTTCATGTCCCAGAGGCTCCACTTCTGATCCAGTTCCCTAAGAGACTCAGAAAAGCAGTGGAAAATAGCCCAAGTGTTTGGTCCCTGCCACCCATGCAGGAGACCCAGAACAAACTCCTGGCTTAGGCCTAGCCCAGCACTGGCCGCTGTGGCCACCTATGGAATGAACCAATAGAATCTCTCAGTCTTTCTCTGTAACTCTTTCAAATAAACAAATTTTAAAAATAAAAAGCTTCTCTAATACATTCTTTTACACATATAAGGATGAAAAAATATCAATTCTACATAAATTAATTAAGGAAATATTGGAAGAGGATAGCTATGTCACACAGCAGGTTAAGGTGCCACTGCAATGCCAGCATCCCATAACAAACTGCCAGTTCAAATCCTGGCTACTCCAATTCCAATCCAGCTTCCTGCTAATATGTCTGGGAAGACAATGGAAGATGGTCAAAATCTTTGGGTCCCTGCCACCCGCGTGGGAGACCTGGATGGAATTCCTGGCTTCAGCCTGGCCCAAAACTGGCTGTTGAGGCTATTTGGAGAGTGAGTCAGCAGATAGAAGATCTTTCTCACTCTTGGTTTGTGTGTGTGTGTGTGTGTGAGAGAGAGAGAGAGAGGGGAAGGAAGGAAGGGAGGAATAAAAGAGAAAAAGGAAATATAGGAAGATGGAACATTTTCTAAGCTAGTCTCATTCACAATGGCAAAAGACGGCAACTCGAACCCTTAACTCACAAACAAAAAACTTAAAACAGATTATAGACCTAAATGTAAGACCTAAAATTATAAAACCTAGAGAAGAAAATATAGGAAAAAATCTTGAGTTTGGCAAAAACTTCTTACAGAAAATACAAAAAGCAGGGCCAGCTCTATGGCACAGTGGGCTAAGCCTCTGCTTACGGACCAGATTCCCATATAGGCACTGGTTCTTGTCCTGGCTGCTCCACTTCCGGTCCAGCTCTCTGTTATGGACCAGTAAAGCAGTGGAAGATGACCCAAGTGCTTGGGCCCCTGCACTCATGTTGGAGACCCAGAAGAAGCTCCTGGCTCCTGGCTCCGGATCAGCCCAGCTCTGATTGTTGCAGCCATTTGGGGAGTGAAGCAGTGGATAAAGGACCTTTCTGTCTCTCCCTCTGTCTGTAACTCTGCCTCTCAAGTAAATAAATAAAATCTCAAAAAAAAAAAAAAAAAAAAAAGACTCAATTGATTACCTATACAGAAAAGGATGCCCTTGCACTAAGTTACCATGACCACACTTCTTATTCTCTAAGATGATCATTTCACATCTTCCTTTCTCCTTTTTTCTCTGAACCTCTTATACCACTATGGTCCACTCTGAGCTGACCATTCTACCTCATGTTTTATGTTACCCAAAGTAGAACAATCACGCACAGTCTCTCACCTTCTAACAAATTCTTTAAGAAGATATAGAGGCTATCACTCAAGAGTGGCAATGTTAACTCGTCAACTGAAAATTCAACCAGAATTTGTAATACAAACTTAGAAACTCTAGGCAACCAATACTCTTCTGTCAACAACTACAATCAAATGCAGAGACATGAGCAACACCCGAAATCTGGCAGAAGGCGACAGTTAAATAACAGAAAATTCCCAAACTTTGGTTCCCCATCTTTCAGAATTGTTCTTGCCATTTTTTTAAATTACATTTGGTTTCTGGCTGACAAATGTATTAAATACGGAAAGTAAAGAAAACCATAAAATATATATGCAATTTACATAGTATTTGTTCCTTACCTGCTGGTGGCGGGTACTGGGAAAGGTGTACTGCACAGAGTGGGGAGGATAACGACTTTGTTCCGTGCTGAATGCTCCTTGGTTGGGAGGATAACCTGAACTTGACATTATCAGTAAAGAAGTCCTCACTGGGCTGTGAGATCAAGTCCAACAATCAATCATGTTTCTAGGAAACCACCTGAATAGAATGGGGAAAACATTCATAAGAACTAAAAATGCCAAGTGTACTTAATAAATTATAACTACTGCTATACAAGCAAAACCAGAACTACCTGTAAAACCTGTCTCTCATGCATTTACTAAATATAAATTGCAAGGGTTTGATCATTACTGAGTCTTTTCCATTACACTTAATATATGACAAACTGGCAATGTAAAATAAAAACATGTACAGTAGTCCACCACTGCCACCACAGTTTCAGTTGCTAATCATCAGTCATGACTTGAAGATATATATGGAAACGTCCAGAAATAAACAAGCCCTAAGTTTTAAATTGTGGAGCCAACGTTATGGTACAGCACCCACATCCTATATGAGAGTGCGGGTTAGAGTGCTGGCTGCACCACTTGTAATGAAAACCAGATGGAGTTTCTGACTCTTGGCTTTTGGCCTAGCCCAGAACTGGCTGTTACAGTTACTTGGAGGGTAAACCAGCAGGTGAAGATATCTCTCTTTCCCCCTACCTTCCTTCCTCTCGCTCATTCAGGAATAAATCACACCTTTGTTCAGCATAGCCACCTCTATATGCTATCTACCCATTAGTCATTTAGTAGCCTGCTCAGTTATGAGTTCAACTATCACAGTAGCAGTACTTGTGTTCAAACAACTTTTTTTTAACTTAATAATGGCCCCAAAGCACAGGAGTGGGGATGCTGACAAATCAAACACACCAGGGAGAAGCCATAAAGTGTTCCCTTTAAGTGAAAAAGTGAAAGATCTCCACTTAATAGGGGGAAAAAATTACACACCAAGGTTGCTAAGATCTATAATAAAAAGGAATTTTCTATTCATGAAACTGAGGAAAGGAAAAAGAAAGTCATACTAGTTTTGCTGTTTCATCTCAGACTACAAAAGTTATAGATAGCCACAGCATAAGATAAATGCTCAGTTACTTACCTCATGTCATCTCACTACACAGGCATAATATCATCTCACATCATCACAAGAATGGTGAATACAATACAGTAAGATATTCTGAGAGATCACATGCACAACATTTTTATCACAATATATTGTTACAACTGTCCTATTATTAGTGATTGACATTGATCTTTTACTGTGTGCCTAATTTGTAAGGTAAACTTTATGACAAGTATGTACATAAAGGAAAAAACATAGGACATATAGGGTTCAGCACTATCCACAGTTTCAGACATGCACTGAGGGTCTTGGAGCATAGCCCCAGAGGACAAAGGGAGACTAACGTATATAAAATCTTCACACGGGACTTAACACATAGCAGGTGCTCAGCTAATGTCTTTCTATAAGGATATGAGACATAAGTATATTTTAAATTTAAATAAGTATATTTTAAAAAGAAATAGAGCTGGTGCTGTGGCATAGCAGGTAAAGCCACCGCCTGCAGTGCCACATGCCATATGGGCACCAGTTCAAATCCCAGCTGCACCACTTCCGATCCAGCCCTTTGCTGTGGCTGAGAAAGCAGTGGAAGACGGCCCAAGTCCTTAGGCCCCTGCACACATGTGGGAGACCCAGAAGAAACTCCTGACTTCAGATCTGCTCAGCTCCGGCCACTGTAGCCATTTGGGGAGTGAACCAGTGGATGGAAGACCTCCCTTCCCCACCCCATCTCTACCTCTCTCTCTGTAACTCTGAAGAAAGAAAGCAGGAAAGCAGGAAAGCAAGCAAGCAAGGAAGAAAGGAAGGAAGAAAGGAAGGGAGGGAGGGAGGGAGGAAGAAAGAGAGGAAGGGAGGGAGGGAGGGAGGGAGGGAGGGAGGGAGGGAGGGAGGGAGGAAGGAAGGAAGGAAGGAAGGAAGGAAGGAAGGAAGGAAGGAAGGAAGGAAGGAAGGAAGAAAGAAAGAAAGAAGAAGAAAGAAAGAAAGAAAGAAAGAAAGAAAGAAAGAAAGAAAGAAAGAAAGAAAGAAAGAAAGAAAGAAAGAAAGAAAGAAAGGAAGAAGGAAGGAAGGAAGGAAGGAAGGAAGGAAGGAAGGAAGGAAGGAAGGAAGGAAGGAAGGAAGGAAGGAAAGACAGACAGACAGACAGACAGACAGACAGACAGAAAGACAGAAAGACAGAAAGACAGAAAGACAGAAAGACAAAGACAGAAAGACAGAAAGACAGACGGTTCTGGGTTGTGAAAAAGCCAGCATCATAGTGCGGTGGATTAAGCCTCAGCCTGCAACACCAGTACCCTATACTGGAGTTCCAGTTCAAGTACTAGCTGCTCAGTCTCTGATCCAGCTCCCTAATGCACCTAGGGAAGCAGAAGATGATCCAAGAACTTGGGCCTCTCTTACCCACATGGGAGAGAGATCGGATGGTGATCCAGGCTCCTGGCTTCACTGGGAGGGAACCAGAGTATGGAAGATCTCTCTCTTTCTCTGCTTTATAAATGAATGAATCAATCAATGAATATTTCAGCCTGACCCAGCCCCAGCCATTTTGTCCATTTGGGGAATGAACCAGAGAATGGAAGCTTACTTGCTCTCGCTTTCAAATAAATAAATAAATCTTTTTTAAAAAGCCAACTTACTCTGGCACAGCAGAGTAAGCTGTCGCTTGCAACACTGGCATCACATACTGGAGTGCCAGTCTGAGTGCTTGTTACTCCACTTCTGATCTAGCTTTTGGCTAATACCCACAGGAAGGCAGTGGAAGATGTTCCAAGCACTTGGGCCCCTGCCATGCACTCCCTCCGAGATGGAGTTCTGAGCTCCTGGTTTTAGCCCGGTCCAGCCCTCGCTGTTCCAGTCATTTGGGGAGAGAACTAGTGAAGAGACTATCTCTCTCACTGAAATAAATTAAAATTTTAAAGAAGATAACTGGTTCAAAATGACAGATGCTGACACACTGTAACCAGGGTTCTAAATTAAAAACTGAAGGTAGGGGAGCCAGCTCTGTGGCATAACAGGTAAAGCCACTGCCCGCAGTGCTGGCATTCCAAATGGGCACCAATTCAAGTTCCAACTGCCCCACTTCCAATCCAGCTCCCGGCTAATGTGCCTGGGAAATCAGTGGAAGATGGTCCAAGTGCTTGGGTCCCTGCACCCACGTGGGAGACCTGGAAGAAGCTACTGGATCCTGGCTTTCAATCGGCCCAGCTCCTGCTGTTGCAGACTTTTGGGGAGTGAACCAGTGGATGAAAGATCTCTTTACATCTCTCCTTCTAACTCTGCCTTTCAATGAACAAATAACAATTAAAAAAAAAAAAAAAAAAAAAACCTGAAGGGAGGGACCAGCCTTTTGGTGTAGCAGGTAGGGTCACCGCCTGCCACAAATGCAACCCTTATGGGTGCCGGTTCACATCCTAGCTGCTCCTCTTCCCATCCAACTCCCTATTAATGTGCCTGGGAAAGCAGCAGAAGATGGCTCAGGATCTGGGCCTCTGCCACCCACATGGGAGACCCGAATGAAGCTCCTGGCTTCAGCCCAGCCCAACCCTGGCTACTGCAGCCATCTGAGAGTAAATCAGCAGATAGAAGACTTCTCTGTGTCTCCCTCTTTCAAATAATTAAATTTTTTTTAAATGAAGGGAAAAAAAAAAAGAATTCAATAAGGTAAGCCATTTGTATACAGGAAATACTGCCTTTGTTGAATAATTCTGCTCCAAAATAATAGTGTAAGACAGGATTAGGGATAGGAAAAGTTTCAAGAAATAATGAAGTTAACAGTACCAATTTAAGGAAAATAACTGCCAGTATCTGTGAAATAAAAAACCTACTACATAAGCTTAACTGCTTTTCTGGAAGTTGGAGGCATTGGTGATGAAATCAACAAGTGTAAGGGTTGTTTTAATTTAATTTTTTATTTACTTGAGGGGCAGGGACAGAGATCTTCACTGTCTATCTTCAAATAACCACAACAGCCAGTGCTGGGCCAAGTTGAAGTCAGGAGTCAGAACTCAATCCAGGTCTTCTACACGGTGGCAAGGATCTAGCTACCTAAACCAACACCTGCTGCCTCCAGGGGTGCATATCAATAGGAAGCTAGATTTGGGAGCAGAGCCAAAACTCGAACCCAAGTTCTCTGATGTGTGATGCAGGCAACCACTATGCCAAACATCCACCCAGGGTTTTTTATGTTATATAATGAAATTATCAATACTTGAACTGCACACATAATTCAACACACAAATACTTTCCAAATGACCAATTCAGAACATAATAAACTTACGTTTGAATAAAAATTTAAAATACACCATAAATCAATAAAATCATACATAATAGAGTTTGTCTATCAACTGACCTTTAAAAAATTACGAACTGTCACGCTTTTGTATAATACCAAAGAATATCCACATTTATCCTAAAAGGCTATTAAAATACATTTATCATATGTATATGAGACTAGGTTTTCCTCATAAACTTTAATCAAAATGTGTATTCCAAGAAATTGAAGTCATAAACAGATATGAGAAGCAAGCTAACTTCTTTTAGCCAGACATTAAAGAGATGTATAAAAATGTAAAACAGGGGCCTACACTGTGGCAAGTAAAGCCACTGCCCATATGGGCACCAGTTCAAGTCCCAGTTGCTCTACTTCCAATCTAGCTCTCTGCTATGGCTTAGGAAAGCAGAGGAAGACAGCCCAAGTCCTTGGGCCCCTGCACCCAAATGGGGGACCCAGAAAATGCTCCTGGCTTCAGATCTGCTCAGTTCTGGCCATTGCAGTCATTTGGGTAGTGAACCAGAGGATGAAAGACCTCCCTCTCTCTGCCTCTGCCTCTCTGTAACTTTGCCTTTCAAATAAAATAAATAAATCTCAAGAAAATGTAAAACAATTCTCTTTTCACCAAATTTTATTCTTGGCAAAGTTACTTATCATAAAAATATTTATTTTAAAACATAAAAAGTTTAAATTCTTTTTTTAAAGATTTGAAAGACAAATAGAGAGAGAGAAAGAGGCAGAGACACAGAGATCATTCCCCAAATGGCCACAACAGCCAGAGCTGTGCCGATCCGAAGCCAGAAGCCAGGAGCTTCTTCCAGGTCCCCAA